TAAGTTTTCCTTATATAAAAACAATACGATAAAATGTCCTATTTTCCTAAAATCACTTAAATCTCTCCATCTGAGGGCTACTCCCTCCCCAAAATAGGACTACCCCCTGCAAGAAAGGTCTTCTCCCTGCCAGAAAGAGGACTACTCCCTCATGAATAGTTGTAGGCGGAGCCTATAAAATTTCAACCAATAAAAACATTTGGCAGGCGGGCCTTCTCCGTGACGCAGGTGACGTCAAATTTTAGGAACCAAACGACAACAGTGAAAATGGCCACCGATGTAGGCCGTTTTGATAATCTTACTGATTTCAGCAGATTTTGAACGCTTGAAGTATACATGTAGCTTAAATACCAAAGCTGCTGTTAAAATTGCAGTGAATTTACTTCAAACTTATTTAACAGAACGGAATGCCGGAAGCGTCGATGATTAGAGCCAAGCAAGCAAAGAGGAGGTAAACGTATTTACGCAAGTTTATGCAGAAATTAAAAAGTGGATAGGACTTCCAATTGTATTTCTTTTCTCCTTGAAATTGTTTAAGAAATGAATTAGTTAAATTGCCTGAATTTGTTTCGTTATAACCAAACGATGAAAGAATGTGTTATTCGGGAAATAGCTAATTTATGGTCACCCTTGGTGAAAAACTATTTCCTTCGACTGCATCGCCGCCTCAGGAAATAGTTTTTCACCCCGGGGACCATAAAATGGCTATTTCTCTCATACCCGTTTAATAACTGTGTACTTTAATTGGTAGTATCGGTTGTGACACCGTAAACAAAGTACGTTCATGTACCACTGTGCCATTCACTGACAATGCATGTCTGTAAATTGCCACTTGAACGTTGACATATTTACTAGAGTACAAACAGAGCCGTGAGAAAACAAACAAATGCCTTATCCAGTGGAGGAGTGACACAAAATCAACCCGTATTACAGCAGTGTAATATTACAGCTACGTTGGTGGCGCCACGTTATTTACCCTATGAATCTTCCAACACAAACACTGCATAAAGGACGATTTCGTTAGTATAAGGTACTAAACGGACGATTTCGTCACTGTAAGGTACTAAACGGACGATTTCGTCACTGTAAGGTACTAAACGGACGATTTCGTTGCTATAAGTTACTAAACGAACGATTTCGTAAGTATAACTTACTCTAACAAACGATTTCGTTACTATAAGGTACTAAACGGACGAGTTCGTCACTATAAGGTACATGTACTAAACGGACGATTTCGTTAGTATAAATCACTGTAAGGGACGATATCGTCACTTTAAGGTACTAAACGGACGATTTCGTCACTATAAGGTACCTAACGGACGATTTCGTTACTATAAGGTACTCAACGGACGATTTCGTTTGTACAAATTACTCTAACGGACGATTTCGTTACTATAAGGTACTAAATGGACGAGTTCGTCACTATAAGGTACTAAACGGATGATTTCGTCACAAAAAGGTACTAACAGGACGATTTCGTCACTGTTAGGTACTAAATGGACGACTTTGTTAGTATAAATTATTGTAATTGAGGATTTCGTTACTATAAGGTACTAAACGGACAATTTCATTAGTCTAAATTACTGTAACGGACGATTTTGTTGATATAAGGTACTGTAACGGACGATATCCTTATTATAGGGTATAGAAACGGACGATCTCGTTAGTAGAAGGTACTGTAACGGAGGATATCCTTACTATAGAGTTCTGTAACGGAGGATATCCTTACTATAGGGTTCTGTAATGGAGGATATCCTTACTATAGGGTTCTGTAACGGATGATATCCTTACTATAGGGTTCTGTAACGAAGGATATCATTACTAAAGGGTTCTGTAACGGAGGATATCCTTACTATAGGGTTCTGTAAGGGAGGATATCCTTACTATAGGGTTCTGTAACGGAGGATATCCTTACTATAGGGTTCTGTAACGGAGGATTACCTTACTATAGAGTTCTGTAACGGAGGATATACTTACTATAGGGTTCTGTAACGGAGGATGTCGTTACTATAAAGTACTGTCACAGATTATTTCGTTACTATAGGGAACTGTTACGGACGAATTCCTTACTATAAAGTACTGTTACAGATATTTTCGTTACTATAAGGTACTGTTACGGATGTTTTCTGTGTTATAAGGTACTGTAACGGACGATTTTGTTACTATAAGGTACTAAACGGACGATTTTGTTAGTATAAGGTACTAAACGGACGATTTCGTCACTATAAGGTACTAAACGGACTATTTCGTTAGCATTAATTACTGTAAGGGACGATATCGTCACTGTAAGGTACTAACCGGACGATTTCGTCACTATAAGGTACTAAACGGACGATTTCGTTAGTATACATTACTGTAAGGGACGATTTCGTTACGACTTATTATGACTGTTACGGCCAATTCTGATTGTAAAAGGTTATGTAACGGACGATTTCGTTATTAAAAATAAAGGACTGTAACGGACGATGTCTTTATTATAGGCTACTGTAACGGACGATTTCGTTAGTATAAGTTACTGTAACGGACGATGCCGTTACAATAGGGTACTGTAACGGGTGAATTCGTTTGTATACGTTACTGTAACGGACGATTTCCTAACTACTATAGGGTATATTAACGGAAGATCTTGTTAGTATAAGTTACTGTTACTGACGATGTCGTTACTATGTGGTACTTTAACGGACGATGCCGTTACAATAGGGTACTGTAACGGGCGATTTCGTTTGTATAAGTTACTGTTACGAACGAATATCTCACTATAAAGAACTGTAACAGATAATTTCGTTACTATAAGGTACTGTAACGGATGATTTCGTTACTATAAGATACTAAACGGACGTTTATGTTACTAATATGTACTGAAACGGACAATTCTGTAAGTATAAGGTTATGCAACGGACGATTTTGTTCTAAATAAAGGAATGTAACGGACGCTGTCGTTACTATAGGCTACTGTAACGGACAATTTCGTAAGAATAGGTTACTGTAACGGACGATGCCGTTACTATAGGGTACTGTGACGGACGATTTCGTTACTATAAGGTACTGTAACGGACGATTTCGTTACTATATGGTACTGCAACGGACGATTTCGTTACTATAAGGTACTGTAACGGACGATGCCGTTACTATAGGGTTTATTAACGGACGATTTCGTTAGTAGAAGTTACTGTAACGCACGATTCCATTACAAATTAGGTACTGTTACGGACGATTTCTTAACGATAAAGTACTGTTACCGACGATTTTGTTACCATGAGGTACCGTAACGGACGATTTCGTTACTATAAATAAAGGAAGGTAACGGACGCTTTTGTTACTATAGGCTACTGTAACGGACGATTTCGTAAGAATAATGTACTGTAACGGACGATGTCGTTACTATATGGCATATTAACGGACGATCTTGTTAGTAGAAGTTACTGTAACGGACGATTCCATTAATAATAAGATACCGATACGGACGATTTCTTAACTATAAAGTACTGTAACCGACGATTTTGTTACTATAAGGTACCGTAACGGACGATTTCGTTACTTTAAGTTACTGTTATCGACGATATCCTTATACTATAAGGTACTGTAACGGATGATATCCTTAATATAAGGTACAATGTACTGTAACGGACGATATCATTACTATAAAGTATAAAGTACTGTAACGGACGATATCCTTACTATAAGGTACTGTAACGGACGATTTGTTACTATAAGGTACTGTAACAGACGATTTCGTTACTATAAGTTACTAAGCGGACGATTTCGTTACTATAATTTACTTAACGGACGATTTCGTTACTATTATGTACTGTAACGGACGATTTTGCTATTAAAATGTACTAAACGGACGATTTCGTTTCTATAATGTACTGTAACGGACGATTTCCTTACTATAAAGTACTGTAAGAGACAATTTCGTTATTATCAGGAACTGTAACGGACGATTTCGTTACTTTAAGGTACTGTAACTGAAGCTTTAGTTGTTATGTTGTATTGTAACGGACGATTTCGTTACCTTAAGGTACTGTAACGGATGCTTTAGTTGTTATATTGTACTGTGACGGACGATTTCGTTACTTTAAGGTAATGTAACGGATGCTTTAGTTGTTATATTGTACTGTGACGGACAATTTTGTTTACTAGTATATACTGTAACGGATGCTTTAGTTATTATACTGTACTGTGACGGACGATTTCGTTTACTAGTATATACTGTAACGGATGCTTTAGTTATTATATTGTACTGTGACGGACGATTTCGTTTACTAGTATATACTGTAACGAATGATTACGGAGAGGATACATGTACATAGCAAAAACCAAGCAACTCACACTGACTCTCTGAAATTAACAACTCTCAAGCTTACTGAAAAGTTCCGCAGACTATTTTGTAAACCACACTTGATCCTTTTCTTTCCAGACGTACTTTTGCTTAATTTGTTTATAGTGAATGTTATCTCAAAAATCTACTGTAATAGTTCTTATGTTCGCAGAGATCATTTAAATGAAAATAACGGATAAGATGTGTTATACGCTTATATTTACATATTTTTTTTTTATTGATTTTCATTTCTAAGTTTACAACGGACTTTTAAGTTCGAATTTCGCGGTGTTTGTTTAAGAGGTAGGACAACCCATGGAATTGCTCACGGAATGTTGTCTCGTGATTTTCCATGTAAAAAATCATCGTTTGTGGAATAAACACAAAAATATCGATACAATTTCCATAATTTAATCAATTAATATATTCAATTCACGTCTTAAAATATTCTTACATTTGTACATGCTTATCTGTTTGCTAGTGCGGAGGAGAATCATAATCAGGTACATGTAGTTAGTCGGTCCCGTGTAGATCACTACGCCTGTGTCACGGGATATGGAAATGTTACTGTCGAGTGAAATATTCTTATCATGAATATTGATGAATATCTTATCACTGCCTCGTGAATTTATAACAGTTCCTTTTTTAGTGTATAGCACTACCTGGTGCTATTATTTACTATCCCGCAGATGAAAGTTATAGACCTTGAGTCCATTTCTAAGTACAACGACACGTTGTGTGTTTGATTGTATTGGACGCTACAGTTTTACAAGACATTCAACAATAAAACGTTATCAGTAACGTTTCATTTGGATGGTAAGGTAGTCAATAGTGAGATGTCCCCTGTAAACGACCGCTGAGGAATAAATAAGTCGTAGCTTAGAGTACTTTGATACCAAGTGAAATCAGCTGTGGTAAGCTGACCCGAGGAGTCTGTTAAGTTTTACAAAAAGTCCAAGGGCAGTGACCACGTGAGGAATCTAAAAATTGGACGCATACTATAAAAATGCAGGAGTTTAACTCAACCGACGGCTTTGTTACAAAGAGAGGTGCGCACGTGCGGAGAAATCTACTAATATCCGCGCTAGTGTGTCTTGTTCTTGGAATGGCAATCGGTCTTCTTATAGGAAGGTTCGGAACATGCCCGGAACAGCCGGAACTGGACGTCAAAGACGGTGTTTTCCTACCGGGTATCTCTGAAAAAATAATTCAAGACGGGGACCCTACCATCAGTGATGAAATTATTAACAACATTAAAAGTGACAACATTAGAGACTATCTCAGGTAAACGATCTCGGCTCAATCTGACTAAACTCATCTGTTACATGGCTTCGTTACTTCACGCCTGAACGCAGACGTAATACAAAGTTAACGAACCATGTAACAGATCATTTTAACAGAGATTTCAGAGATTTTTTCAGAGATTTTTATTATCACTCAGTCACACTATTGTGCTCAACAAGAGGTCATCATAAAGTACAATATAACAATGATATGGTTGACCGTAAAGCACTCACCTTACTATGCTAGCGTACAATAATATAGTTGAAACTATTACACTTCTCATACAATGATAAACACACTATTACACTGTACTATCATACCTTATTATAATAGACAATATAACGCACTGCTCTTACAATGACGCTCATCATACACTGTGATATACATTATTACACTCATTTTACAACACTATTACGATTGTATAATACATAGCATTACATTCATCCATACCGTGCGTTCACACAGTGTTATAGCAGGCACTGTTGCATCCATCTTACAGTATAATCCTACAATAATATTATTACAGTATTACACATATATTACTCGCACTCCATGATACATGTATTATAGATAGTATACCACACCATACAGTGCAATCATACCATAGCATAATAGTGACTATCATACCCATCATACCATATAATATTACAAAGGTGTAATAGACAGTGTTACGTATACACTCCCATCGTACAATACTGCGCTAGACGCACCGCCATACGGTTCGGAGAAGCTTAGAAAGTTACGTAAAGGTATCAAAGGTGTTTCTCATTAAAAACGCACTTACAGGCCCATGGAGTTCTCCACAGAGGTTAGGACTGTTACGGGGTTACAGTACAATATCTGTGGTCTCCGTATAATGACCAATCCGCCGATTAGTGTGTCCATACATGTTGACAGACACTGCGAAGACAACTTTGAATTCACAGTCCGACACTTTTATATACGTTATTGTAGGTAGGTCGGATAACATAATATTATGTAAATTTAACCAGTGTACACTTAATCATGTGACCTCTCTGAAGGGTCCTGATATTGTGACACACTATTTGTACCAACCTGTATGGGAATTTATTTGTATGGGGGTACAATGTACCTTATTTGCTTTTTCTTTTGATGGATTTTCGTTAGCTATTACAGCCCTTTGTACTTTAATCAGGCGATACATTGGTTTAGTTTGATTTAGTATTGTTTAACGTCCTATCAACAGTATAAAGAGGATAGAANAATGGCTGCAAAGCGTAAACACATGATTGTTCTTCTTTTCTATTACAGGGCACATTTTTATGTCAATTTTGCCGTTAGCTCTGGGCTGAAGAAACTCTGAGATAATTGACAGCTAAACCTGATATTTACCTCCTTCAGGCCAGTCTCGGCAAAGTAGTTGAGAGTCTCGCTGTGCGTGATACCCGGCAGACTATCGAGATCCAGCGGACTGGTCACGTCTGTCATACAATACGGCTCCTCAAAGTCTCGCTTGATCACTGTGTCAAAGTCGATGTGCTTCCTCAGGCTGTAATGTACAAAATAACACAATGAATACTTTTGATTTCTTCTATTGACATCCACTTTTTAATTGAACAAAGTGACCACTAATTGAGAGAGAGAGAGAGAGAGAGAGAGAGAGAGAGAGAGAGAGAGGGTCGGAGTGGAGAAGATAGGAGTCGTCTGTCATAATGATCCTATATCTACTTGAGAGATATATTCAATCTTAGACGGTGACACCTTGGTTGAAATTGCCTGACCAAACACTGCGACTATGTAACTAGACGTATTGTATCAATAGCCTATATGAAGTTGGCTTAATCTTGTTTTTGAAGTCCGTCTTTTCTTCTATCATATATATACACGAGGTATGGGGTGGGGGTTTAAATGCTGACTAGATACATACATGTACTGTACATTAAATCATGTGACCTATATGGAGGCTATTTATACTGACCTACCATACTATACATTTATATCACGTGACCTGCATGGGCGGTGCAGATGCTGGTCAGCTATAATGTCCACGTTATTACTTGACCATTTGAGAGGTATACGCTGACTAACTGTATTGTACATTTTAACATAGGACCCTATCAGAGTTTCCCCATCTCGCTGGTACCGATGCTGACTACCGACAGGCCAAGGAGCTTCACGACTTCTGGAAGCATGAAGGGTTGGACGAGGCTTACCTTACGCCATATGACGTACTGCTGTCCTACCCCAACGTCACTGATGACGACATGATGAACCGGATAGAGCTGCTAGACGACACTGATGGGATAGTGTATCAGTCCCCGCTGAGGGAGGCAATCCTTCACCCGACCGAGAACAAGAGTGACGTAGTACCGCCTTTCAATGCTTACTCCGCCCCCGGAGATGTAGTGTCGGTACGTATATGATAACATTGTCAAATATGTATAGTATACATTCTATCTATTTCACATATTTTGCACATCGTTTTGTTAGGGAAATGAGTCCCAAAATGTGATAATGAGCATATTATACACGCTGTGCGTCATACTATTCAGTTCCCAGATATAAGCATAGAATACTGGCAGAAAACTATTCCAATCAAACACATTCAGAGGTTACATTTATGAAAATAAATTATAAGTCCGTTTACTCAATGATTCCTAATAAAACAAGTCAAAGAAATACTACAGATGTGATACCTTTAAAAGGAACGCCTTGCGTACGTGAACTATGGTCGACTTGAGGACTACCGCTGGCTGAAGAACAACACTTCTGTCGACGTCACGGGCGCCATTGTTATAGTCCGATATGGAAAGATCTTCCGGGGTGACAAGGTAAGTGAAAGTCGTCATATCCATGTCCGTCCATTACATGTGTCAACCTATTCCGTGACGTCATTATAACCACTTCAATATCTAGTTGGATAATGCCCCAAATAACTGTCTATTTCAAGATTTCAAGGTCAAGGTAATCGTTATTATTTATATACAGATATATGTCAAACTATGCCAGTAATTCACATTGGAGTAGGGGGCATTCATACCCGACCGACGTTTTCTAGTTTTGGAAAGATACGTATTCGTGCATTGATGTTGAAGGTCCACACTTGGCTTAAGGAATGTAGAACAAGATTTATCTGGTTGGATTATCTATTTTATCAGTAAAATCTATCGGATAAGATTCAATATGCATCAATAGGTTCCTCATGATCAGTGGACAAATCTATTATCATTGTCATGATTAAAATGATATTTAAATGATGCTTTAAGATTTCGTTTGTTTGGGTGTTAACGTCCTTGCAGCAGCCAGGGCCATATGAGGAGGTTTCTCAGGCTGATACAATACCTACACTTTCTCTGTACTATAGGTCCATCTGGCCACCTTACATGGTGCAATAGGGATCATCATCTACTCTGATCCGGCCGACTACACCCTGGATGGAAGTACATCACGTGTGTATCCGGAAGACTGGTGGCTCCCTCCATCTGGAACACAGCGTGGCACTATATACCGCGGGCTCGGGGACCCACTGACACCAGGCTACCCCGCCACAGGTACATTAAATGAACACCTACTATTTTGGCTGGTGTTTCCTAGGGTGTGAGAACTCTATGGTGGTATGTATTTCAGCGCAATTTTATTTCCTCGACAAGATGGTCTTCTCGACTTAAGTTAGCTAAGTGGACTTTTCATGATAACTACACGTAAGGTATTTTGTTGATAACTACACGTAAGGTATTTTTTTTATTTTTTTTTGCGTTAAACAGTAAAAAATCTATAAATGTAAGAAATGTATGGTGGTCTTTGTATGCCAGCAAATCACCTTTGTTAAAGACGCCAGCTATTCTTGTGGCTATAAAGTGTTCCGTGTTATTGACAGTGATAAGGAATATAATAAAAGTTATGTTCACCACTTAATTGTTGACCACTTTCAGAAACATCATATAGATACACAGAAAACAGCAGTGAAGCTCAGTTACCCACCATCCCCGCCCACCCTGTGGGGTACGGTATAGGACAGAACCTACTCAGGTAAGTTATAATACTGTTATAGTACAGTTAAAATTACGCCCAAGTATCCACTTTTTGTGGCACGAACGCAGGACGCACGCTTCCCGAACGGAGACGAGCCGCTATACGACCGCAGGACGAACCCGGTGCGAACGCAAGCCTACCGATAGAACCGGTGTTACCGATTAGGCCTAACGCTGTTAGTACAGCCGCTTCCCGAACGGAGCGAGGATATCGGCCGCTACCGACCGATAAACTGCTTAATGATACCTCGCCTCTATCGACCGATAAACTGATACCTGGCCGATAGCGGCGGATCGAACGAACGAACTATGCAGCCGCTTTCACGGGACGGAACTAGTAGTAGTCGTCTGGATAACCGAACCACTCGTAGTGAAGCGGACGTGAATCTACTAAAACAAACAAACAACCGGTACTAGTGCCCAATTACACCTGTACTTACCACCCACAAGATATATTTAAGTCCGTAACTAAACTAATAAAGCCGTTTTATTTTAATAATGTCGGATCAGTCTAAGAATAACATTTCACTTATTCTTAGGATTAAAATGTTAGTCAATGATACCATTTCTACAACATATATTTGTTTGAATAGAGCGGTCGTTTAATCTATGTTATAACTGAATGATCACAAATGTTTAGGTATACCTAGACAATTACGACACGATTTAAATTCAAATACATGATTGCTAGCGAATTGTAACCATAATCACGGAATCACGTAGTCCGTGCCAATATTCACGGAAGAATTGTCCTACCACATTTTGTATTCTTTAATATCGTAATTATGCCTGTTTGTTACATGAAATACCATTTTATATTAACAATGAATTAAGGCCAGATTTTGTAAGTGATAATCGTTCTAATGTGTATGTCCAATACGTGTCAGGACGGCGTGTTACGAATTTCAATCGTTCAAAATTTCCCACCTGAGTGAACGCCATTTTGTAGGTCATGGAATTGACTAATCAACAAACCGTACTGATCCGGACCGAAAATAGAAAATATAGATTACGGACCGCCTCTTTTTGTTGATAAGTCACTTCCATGATCTAGAAAATGGAGATCGCTCAGGTGGGAAATTTTGAACGATTGCAATTCGAGGACTCTGCTGGCGGAATTCAACAGCTGTTGGTAATAATAAGAGCGGATTTGGATCAATAAATAATCTATTTATCGATGTATGTGAGGTATGTGTTGTGCCATAGTAGATTTTTGTTGTCAGCATCTCAATTAAAACTCTCCGATACCAAACGGTTATGTTTTCATAAACATAGTAATTAGTGCGCTCTGGTCCCAAACCAGACGTCTATCTGTCAAACTGTCTTAGTCTGAAGTCAGAGGCGGCGGAAACTCAGAACTGATAGCATGGTATACAGAACATTGATATCTATCTAAAAGGTTGGTTAAACAGATACAGA